ATATTCTTACTATATATAAAGAACTTTTAGTGGCCAGTACTTGACACACACAGAGATATGAGGGGGTGATATAACTTTTGTTGAATCAATATAATTCAGGGAATTGGGGAGTGCTTTGCCCAATATAAGCAGTCATTTTGTGCAATATGGAAATTGAGCAAGTATTGTGTTGGCAGATTTATGTCTAAAGTTTAAATTGGGAGTTTATTTATCCAAAACAAAATGAGAACTTATTTGCAAGTTGATTTCATTTATGTATAACTGTATGAAATGGTTAACTAACAAACATGATAGTGCATTTGTGTCTCTTATGTTCTCGAGTTTGCAACATTATTTTTAAGTAAATTGTTAACTTTCCCTTCATCTGTGCATATTCATGATGAAGTTTGAGGGTTATAACTATAGAATAGGTGTAGTAGTTATCTCTTTGGTTGATGTATAATTAGATGCATATGAGAGTAAAGAAAGGTAACCAGGAATTTCAAATTTATAACTTGGAAATAACATTCTTAACAATCGTTTGTTATTTGCACAGATGTCTGGCCCAAGTAGTACTGGAAGTATTGGATTATGACTAATACCAATACGTGAGGAAGATAGCACGACCAATGTACCGGAGAACAATGTCCTACAAGAAGATCCAATTGAACTGTTACCAAATGCGGATGAAATGACAATAAACCTAAGTGACGAGGAGCGTGATATTGGAGAAATATCATTTGGAAAGAGGAAATTGACTTCAACTGTGTGGGAGCACTACAAAAGACAGAAAATTGGTGAGAAATGGAAGGCTATATGCAATCATTGCAAAAAACTGTTGGGGGTGAAACAAAAAATGGTACAAAGCATTTGCATGATCATTTAAAGAGATGTGTACTCCGTTATAAGGACAATACTCACCAAACAACATTAAATTTCAAAAATGATGCCACAAGTGGAAAAGTCACAATGGGTACTTACTCTTTCGATCCAGATAAGTGTAGATATAATCTTTTGAAAATGGTGATTTTGCATGAGTATCCTTTTGTCTATGGTTGATCACATTGGATTTCGAGAGTTCTTGCACGACCTACAACCATTGTTTAAGGTTCCTTCTCGCAACACTTTGAAGAGCGACATTTTGAAAATCTATGAATACGAGAAAGCCAAAAATATGATTGCACTTGAGAAGATCAAGAGTAGAATTTCGATCACTACCGACATGTGGACCTCTTCTAATCAAAAGAGAGGATTCATGGTTATCACTGCTCATTTCATAGATAATGCGTGCAAATTACAGAGTCGAATCATGAAGTATAGTAAAACATTACATTCACTTGTTCTCATAATTTACCAAAATGATATTCTTTTAGTTGATTTGATTTGTTCTTGAATGAACTCAAGTTTATATATGTGCCGTGCCCACACATTGCTGATGTGCTTTCAGAAACTCTATTAAGCAACTTGATGAACTGGAATATTGATCGTAAGTTACTAACTTTGACGGTAGATAATTGCACCACAAATGATGCAATGATCAGTACTCGTTCTATTGTACTGAATGGTGAAATTTTTCATATGAGGTATTGTGCATATATATTAAATCCTATTGTGAAGGATGGGTTGGACATTATTAGTGGTACTGTTGAGAAAATTCGTGATAGTGTTGCTTATTGGACAGCCATCCCAAAGAGATCTGAAAATTTTGAGCTCTTTGCACGTCAGTTGAAAATTGATTGTGAGAAAAAAAATTGGTGCTTGATTGTAAAACAAGGTGGAATTCGACGTATTTGATGCTTAGTACTGCTTGATTTATAATGATGTTTTTCCATGTTTGAAACATAGGGAGTCACGATATAAATGTTTCCCTAGTGATGGTAATTGGGATTTAGCAAAAGAAATATGTGAGAAGTTAAAGGTTTTTTTTTTTTAGGTTATTGAATTGTTTTCAGGAACAAAGTATCCAATTTCTAATCTCTTCTTTGTAAATGTTTGTGATATCAAATTGTCATTGTATGAGTGGCTTGAATCTCCTTATGTAGAAGTTCAAATGATGGCAACCAGTATGATGGAAAAATTTAATAAGTATTGGAGCGATATTCATGGAATTTTGGCTTTAGTAGCAGTGTTGGATCCGAGGTATAAGATGATATTAGTTAAGTTTTTTATCCTCGTATTTTTAATCACAATGCTGCAAGTGAGATTGACAAAATATATCAAGTTTGTAACAAGTTGGTGCACGATTATCAGGAAAATAATGATTCAAGTGGGTCTTTAGCTCAGTCTTCTACTTCTTCTTGTCAAATCGAGACGTCAAGTGCTAATATAAATCAGGTCGCATGGCGGATTTTTATAAATTTGTTTCTAATGTTGAAGCTCCTAGTAGTGTGAAAACTGAGCTTGATACTTTTTTTGATGAGCCTATATTGCCTCGGTCGGATGATTTTGATATATTGATATTGTGGAAAGTGAATTCAATCAAATATCCGACTTTATCTCGAATTGCAAAATATATTTTGGCCATCTCGATATCTACTGTGGCATCCGTATCTCCTTTCAGTACTAGTGGTAGATTTGTTAGTCCACACAGAAATAGACTTTACCCAAAACTTTGGAGGCTTTAATGTGTGCTTAAGATTGGTTATGGGACGATATTCACGGTACGATGTATAGAAACATTTACTTTTTATATTGTTTCTTTTATGAATTTTCTTATTACTAATTATTTTATTTTATTAATAGCGAATTCTGTGCCATCTGCATATTTTGGAAGTTGCTCCAAGATGAATGATGAGGATGTTGATGAGGAGGTACTTTTATTTATTACATAATTTAAATTTTATTCATCGTTATTATGAATTTATGATGATATTGAGTATAATATTTCTTTCGTTTTTTAGGATCCGTCTTCTACAATCTCTGAACCTGCCGATGAATGAAGTTATAAAGATGGAAAAACAACAAATTTATTTTTGGATGAAGAAGTGAAATTTAGTTATAATGTAATCGTATTTGTAATTGTTTATTTTCGAATATCGTTTTTTAGAGTACTTAATTTGGATGTTAGCGTTTTTAAATTGTGAATTATAAAAAAAAAAAAAAAGGCAATAAACGGGGCATGACCTTGCCCCGCCTAAGGCAGGGTATGTTTGGGACGGGGCGAGGCGACCTACTTTTCTTACGAAAGAAAGTTCCTCTGATGAAAGGAGAAACTCTGAGAAATGAAATCGCTCAAATCGCATAAGTCTAATGATCATTAAGCATGGCATTCCAGAAGCCTTTAGAGGTGCAATATCCGAAGAGATTACTAATGCTAAGGAGTTCCTTGTCGAAATTGATGTTCTGAGAATAATTTAGTTTCAGTACCTAGAAACACTTGGTGGATGGATTTTGGTGCTACTACTCACATAAGTGTTTCTATGCAAGGCTACTTAAGCTACCGAAAATCAAGTGATGGTGAAAGATACATTATATGTGGGTGATGGCAAATCGGTGGAAGTTGATGCAATAGGTACTTTTAGGTTATTATTGAAAACTGGTTATTATTTGAATTAGGAAGACATTTTTGTTGTGCCGTATTTTAGACAGAATTTAATTTCTGTTTCTTTGTTGGACAAATTTGGATATTGTTCTTCATTTAAAAACAATTAGTTTAGTCTTTCATTAAATTACAATATTATTGACACTGGTTTATTATATGCACATGATAACCTATATTTGCTTGATATAATTGCATCATATAATGAAACATTGCATGTTGAATCACGAGGTACTAAACGCAAATTAAATAAAGAAAACTCAGCAAAATTAGGGCACAAGCGCTTAGGTCACATCTCAAAAGCTAGAGTTGAACGACTTGTGTCAGATGGTATTTTGGATTTCCTTGATTTCACAAATCTTGATGTATGTGTTGACTGTATCAAGGGAAAACAGACCAAAACAAAGAGATTAGGTGCTAACAAAACTTCAGACGTCTTAGAATTAATACACACAAATATTTGTGGGTCATTCCCTAAGGCTTATTGGAATGATCAACAATATTTTGTATCATTCGTAGACGATTACTCACGTTATGGGTGCTTATATCTCTTTCATGAAAAATTTGAGTCACTAGACATGCTCAAAGCCTTTAAAGCTGAGGTTGAGAATCAACTCAACAAAAGAATAAAGAGCGTTAGGTCTGACTATGGTGGTGAGCACTACGATAGATATGATGGATCAGATGAACAATGTCGAGGACCATTTGCTAAATACCTAGAGGAGTGTGGAATCGTCCCACAGTACACCATGTCAGGATCACCTAGCATGAATGGTGTAGCTGAAAGACGAAATAGGACTCTTAAGAACGTAGTAAGGAGTATAATAAGTCATTCCACCTTGCCAAAATCACTCTAAGGAAAGGCATTAAAGACTGCAGCTTATATTATGAACAGAGTACCAACTAAGGCTGCTGCTAAAACACCTTATGAGCTTTGCACAGGCGAAAACCTAGTCTAAAGCATTTTCAAATTTGGGGATGTCCAGCTGAGGCGAGACCTTATAGGCCACATGAAAAGAAATTGGACTCCAAAACAGTTAGCAGTTATTTTATTGGTTACTCTGAGCGATCTAGGGGCTATAAATTTTATGATCCCACGCTTAAGTCAATTTTCGAAATGGGAACCGCAATATTTTTTGAGGATGTTAAGTTTGGGAAGAGAAATAAGGTTAGAGACATTATCTTTGAGGAAAGACCAATTTTGATTCCTAATATTGTTTTTGACAATGTACAGGTTTCTATACCTGTAGTTAATCAAGAAGCATATCCAAAACCTCAACGAGACAATGTTGAAGAACCTCTCATCCAAAATGAGACAATTATTCTAGAAGTACAAACTCAACAACCTTAAGAACCAATATCATTAAGGAAATCCACAAGAGAGTGGAAAAATGCTATTCCTGATGATTTTGTAGTATTTCTTCAAGAACATGAAGAAAATAATGGAATGGTAGAAGATGATCCAATCAATTTTCATCAGACCATGAAGGGTTCTAACTCTCAAAAGTGGATTGATGCCATGAATGAAGAGTACAAGTCTATGCAAGATAACAAAGTTTGGAATCTTATCTCGTTACCTGAAGGTGTGAAGTCCAATGGTTGCAAATGGATGTTTAAAATCAAGAGGGATTCAAATGGTAATGTGGAAAGATATAAGGCTTGTCTTGTGGCTAAAGACTTTACCAAAAAAGAAGGCATCGATTTCAAAGAAACTTTTTCTCCAATTTCAATGAAAGACTCTTTCAGGACAATTACGACACTTGTTGCGCAGTTTGATCTTGAGTTACATCAGATGGATGTTAAACAGCGTTTCTCAATGGCGACATTGATGAGACGATCTATATGGTGCAACTAGAAAACTTCGGGTCTTCCGAAGAATATGGTTTGCAAATTAAAGAAATCCATCTATAAGCTCAAGCAAGCTTCCCGCCAATGGTACCACAAATTTCATCAAGTTATTATCTCATTTGGTTTTGAAATGAATGTCGTTAATGATTGTGTGTAACACAAGTTCAGTGCGAGTAAGCATACTTTCCTGGTTTTATATGTTGATGACATACTGCTTGCCACTAACGATATAAGCATGTTGCACGAAACTAAGAGATTTTTATCAAGAAATTTTGAGATGAAAGATCTTGGTGACACTTCTTTTGTATTAGAGATCTAGATACATTGGGATCGCTCTCGAGGTATCTTGGACTGTCACAAAAGAGTTATATCGATAAAGTACTTAAGAGGTTTGGCATGCAAGACTGTAAACTAGGTGACACCTCTGTCGCTAAGGGAGACAAATTTAGTCTCAAACAATGCCCACAAAATGACCTTGAAGCTAAGGAAATACAAAAGATTCCCTATGCATCAATTATTGGGGGTCTGATGTATGCTCAAATTTGTACACGTCCAGACATAGCATTCATTGTTGGAGTGCTAGGCAGATATTTAAGTAATCTTGGGATGGATCATTGGAAAGCAGCCAAAAGAGTTATGAGGTATTTAAAGAGAACAAAGGATTATATGCTCACATATAGCAGATCGGACCAGTTAGAGATCATAGGGTACTCCGATTCTGATTTTGCTGAGTGCTAAGATAGTAGAAGATCCACATCAGGCTATATCTATCTGCTGGTTGGGGGAGCTATTTCCTGGAAGAGTGCCAAGCAAATACTCATAGCTTCTTCTACCATGACAGCAGAGTTTGTAGCATGCTATGAGGCATCTAACCATGGAATATGACTACGAAATTTTGTCACTGGGCTGCGCATTCTGAATGGAATAGAAAGATCACTAAAGTTATATTGTGACAATAACTCGATAGTTCTATATTCTAACAACAACGGGAGCTCATCTAAGTCAAAATACATTGACATTAAGTTCCTGATTGTAAAGGAAAGAGTACAGAATGGATAGATTTCTATAAAGCGCATTGTAACAGACTCCATGATTACGAATCCGATCACTAAAGGATTACCACTCAAGGTCTTTCATGAGCACATTGCTCCCATGGGTGTTGTATTTATTGAGGATATCATGTTTTAGTGGGAGTTTTTATTCTCGTTGCTTTATGTTTACTTTGGATACATTTGTGTATTTGGATATTTTTCTGTACAGAAATGAAGTATTCAATTCATTCCACTCTGTTATTATGTTTAGCATTGATCTCACTTAAGAAATAAGGTTGGATCAGTTGGAAATAGACATGTTCGAATCACATAACTTGTAATTTCCATGCTACATTTCCATGATTAATCTATGTAATTTGGTTGTATGAATGTGCGTGACCATTGATGGATTTAGTCACACTAAATGTGACGAAAATTGCTTTGATCCTACATCAATATGACTAATGGACGAGATTGTTTAGAAATACCCTTAACAATGATAGCAAAAGTTTGAGCTCATGAAGTTGCACACATATGTAATATTACATATATGGCCTAGTGAGAGATTGTTGAAGAAATTCTATCATATAGGGCCACACGTGTATATATTAAAATGTGTGATGCTATCTTTAAGGTTTATACAATAAGGTAATCCATTGAGTTTAATTTTGGACTAATGGGTATTAATTTTCATGGAATCAAAGTGTGGAGACCGGAATAATTATTTTAAATTGTTGATGGGCCAATTTGAAATAATTGAAAGATAATAATTAATTATTTAATATGGGTCATGGTCCCCAATTGCACTTGACTTTCAGAATTCTCTGCATCCCCATCAGCAGAGAACGGATCTCAAGAAATCACGTAATAGTTGGAAGATCATAATCGATTTCAGAAAACTCAGATCTATAGATCAAGGTACGCTTCCGCATTTATTTTGTTTTCTCATTGATTTCAACATGGAGATTCAAGAATCTGGTTTGTTTCGATTTCCTATAAAGGCAACCAGTAAGCATCCAACCTTGATAAAATTTTATCAGAGCGGCTACAATCCGTTGCTATCTCTTGATTGGAGATATAAGGAAAGAATTTAATAGAATTTATGAGTGGATGATTTCAATATTGACTAAAATGATTAAGGATCAATTAGCCTCCAAAAAGTAACAACGTGAGTTCAATATTAGCAGTGGAGAAGGAGAAAAATTAGCCTCTAAATATCATTCCAACCATTACACAGAAACAAAGAACGAGAATGCAAATTCAACTAAACAGATGGATGATGATGAAACTAAGTCTTTTCAACAGGAAGCTAAGCTGAACCTATCTGATTCAAATAGTTAGGTGTCTAAGGTTAGTGAAAATGGTGTATCGGTGATACTTTTGGGTTGGTCAAATGCACAAAATTGTGAAATCCCCCCAAATGAATCCAGGAAGTTAGAGATGTAGCTTGAAAATGATGGCTCGAAGAGTCTTCACGTAGATGCAAAGCTCAACTTGACTTTTTATATATTATCTAGTATCTGAGGTTAACTCTGAGTTAAATGTTCAAGTTGTTGAGACCGATGACCAATAATGTAGGAATTGAGATTTAATGAATACCACTTGTTGTAATTGAAGTAATTAACAAGATCACAAATAATATCAAGAACAAGATTAAAATAAAGAAAATAAAAGAAGAACTGGTAAAAGGAACGATGTTTTATTCAACACTACGAAAGGAGAGTACAATAGCAATGAAAGTTTCTATTGTTACATTTTAAACTGAAAAAAGGACCCCTATATTTATAGTGCATGAGCCAACCCTAAAAGAAGGAGAAAATATGGAAACTAGGTTAAAAATCACGTAAAGGAAAAAATTCGCTGCCACCAAAAATTATTACCTGTGCGAGGTATACTCCTTGCGGTTGCATGGAGTAGATTGATTGGCAGTTGAAATTCCTTGACAGCCCTTGTGCGACCGCATAGTGTGTTAGTGCAGTCACATGAAGTTTCAATTGGAAAAGAATTTCTTTCCTTATAGATTTGATACAATTGATTGCTTTCCAACTCCAACACGCAACATTAAGATCTAGTTCCCTTAAAACTTGTCTGCCACTTTCATCCCTCTTCCAATTTTAATTCAACACACCATCTTCAACAATTATTTTTCTAATTGAGCATCACAACCATAACACAAGTAATTTCTATTTTTTTTGGATTTAATAGTGGTTTACAGTCTAGATCTATCAAATATAAGAGACAATTTGATGTAATCACTAAGGTTGATGAGGAGTTGAAAGGATCAAATATACTTACTCTAGTTGGCAATAGTGATGTTAGGGAAATTGATTCTAAACCAAAAGGAAAAAAGAGGACATGAGTGATGAGTGCAATAGAAGAATGGTAGAGAAAATGAGAGTCGAACCACGGATGGGGTTGGAGTTTGATTCAGAAGAAGATGCACAAGAGTTATAAAATGTTTATGCCACTGAAGTGGGGTTCGAAATTCGAATTGGTCAGTTGTATCGATCTAGAGTTGATGGTTCCATTCATTCTCAGAACTTTTTATGTTCGAAGGACGTATTTCAAACTAACTCAAGAACTAGTTGTCCAGCATTCGTTAGACTTCAAATAGCTAATTTTGGAAAATGGATTCTTGCCAAATATAAGAAATGAACAGAATCATGAATTGAAAGACTCTTTAAAAAATTGTCCATCTAGGGTAGAGAGGAAAAGTTCTCCGACTACAAGGTCATTAGCTACTGGAGTTGGTAGGATTGAAATCAAATCAAAAGAGGATGATGGTTTGACTGGTGTCACTTCATGTTGTCAGACGTCTTATAATGGAAGAGTTGTATGGAGATGGAAAGCACCTATAGGTGAACCATATAAAGGTCTTGAATTCAATTTTTTCAATGAAATGTAAAAATTTTACTCCATGTGCGAGGTTAATGTTAATGTATATACAATGTAAATGTTAGTTAGTCCCACATTGGTTAGAAAGGAAAACATTTCTCTCAAATTAGGCTATAAATAGGATACCTCTCTTGTAAACAAATCACACTATTCAATACAATTCTCTTCTCTTTGTATTGTCTTATTTTCTCTATTAAATTCAACTTGGTATCAGAGCTACTATTCTTAGTGTTCTCGATATATCAAGAGTTGAGTATGCTCTGTGATTGCCACTATTAGTGGATCCTTCACATCAGAAAAACCTCTTGTATATCCTTTTCATACCTGTTAGGTCGTCGCTATAGTCAAAGTCTTATTCTCCATCGACATCATCTCAGCCACCACTCCATCAGTCATTTCCTGACCAGTTTAGTTCGATTCCTGTTATTTTTATCTCTATTTCCTTCTAATTTCGTGCACATTATGGAGCATCTTGAGGTCTCACAACCTATTGCCATTGTCATGGAAGGACTCAACTACACTATATGGGCTCAGGCTATGTCAAGATTTCTTAAGGGCAGAAAGCTCTGGCGCTATGTTACTGGTGCTATCACCGAACCAGAGAAAATCGCTGGAGAAGACAACACAAAATACATAGATCGTCTCGAAGAATGGGATAACAAAAATACCAAATTATCACTTGGATTCGCAACACATGCGTACGCTCCATCAGTCTCCAGTTTGGTAGATTCAAGACTGCCAAGTCACTATGGGATTTTCTACAGAAATGCTACACCACCGCAGATCTGTCTCATCAATACCAAAGGTACTCTACATCGTATGCAACAACAGCTTGGGCAATCCATTAATAATTTCTTATCTGAGATGCACTATGTTTGGGATCAACTTGCTTCCTTAGAACTAGAGTTTACAGATGTCAATGATGCTAAAAAAAAATTAACTATCGAGATCAGCAACACTTGGTTCTCTTTCTCATGGCCCTCACTAATGAGTTTGAATGTTCGTGCATCTCTCCTTCAACGCAGTCCCTTACCTACTTTAGATCAAGCTGTTACTGAACTTCTTTCGGGAGTATCTCCTCTTGCCCCTCGCAAGACTATCTCTACAAATGCTGTCTTCGCCACTCCTAGAGGACCTCAACCCAGCAACAAAATACATCCATCTGGATCTTTTCAACCTAATAACAAAGGGCATCCATCTGGATCTTCAAGATTATGTAATTACTGCAAGAAACCAGGACACATTCTCTTGAAATGCCCGGTTCGAGTTTACCAATTCCGTCAGAAGCAAGCCCTTGGTCATCTTCAGCGTGATTGTTCCCAAAACCCCAATAGACACTCCCAACAACACATGTCTCACGGTACTCCTTCTAGATCTATTGCCACTACCACTA